TATAATATAGAAGAGAAATATCAATAAGAGAATAATATACTGTACCAGGTAAAAGAAAAATCAAGGTTTAACAAATATGTCATGGTAGGTTAGGTTAGAAAAAATCAAGGTTTAACACTTACGTAAGGTTAGGTTATGTTTGGAAAAATCAAGGTTAGGTTTAACACTTACGTTAGTAGAAGAGATGGGTCGGCGTACGGGAATGGAGGCTGGTTCCGAGGCAGAGGGCAGGCTGCTGGCCCTCAGGTGAGTCACCATCACTGTCATCCACACTTATCAGGGCCTCGCTGACAAATTCCTCAAAGTCACCATCACTGTCTCTGTCTTTGTCAGTATCACTGGCTTGACCTGGCTATGGTGGGTTACGGGCGAAGAACTCGGTAATGCTTTGTTGACGGCTAGTGTTGATGTTGTCGTGGTACACCTTGATGTAGGGCTCCATAGTTTGCAACAGCTGGGTAGTGAAGACTTCATACCGGTTATCGTCAGGGTCGTCGTAAAGGAGGAGCTTCAGTTTCTCTACACACTCAATGGCACCCCTTACATTACCATGCGATAACTTGCGTTCTTCTCGGGATGACTCACCGCCTGTCCCTTCACGGACGTCATCATCTTCTAACATCTCGTCGGCAGTAATATCAGGATCCCTTATCCCCTCCATAATGTCGTCGTTGGTGGTCTCGGAGAAGCCTTTAGCTGTAACACATTGCGCAGCTTCTCTGGCAAGGTCCACTGCTACTGCAACAGTCTGAACCTCACCAGTCACAGATTGACTCTGCCTCCCACCTGGAATACCTTGCAACACATGTCTCCATACGTGACAAACCTTTGCTACAGACAGCTGATCCCATGCCTCCACCAAGAAGTCCACAGCTTTCTTGACCTTGAATTTTCTCCAAAAGTGTTTCACAAGTACTTCTTGCTCTGCCAACTGTTGTTCCTCGTCCTCTTCGCTCTTGCTATCGGTGTCACCCAGGTTACGCAACTCATCCTTGGTGTTGGTATAGTCGTTCAGGAGCTTAAACTTCTTTGCAGAGAATGCAGCTTTCACATTGCAGATTAATTCTTGGTCCATGGGCTGGATTAATGGCGTAGTGTTGGGAGGAAGGAAGACCACTTTTACGTTGGGGTGATGATCCAACAGTAGGGGCGAGTGTCCTGGTGTGTTGTCAACGCTTAGCTCGTCTTGAATGGGTGTTTTGTTTGCTCTAGAATTATTCGTCAGGAGCAGAAACAGTCATCAAACTGAGAGGATAGTGAAACATCCATGGCGCCTTGTATGGGTCAGCCAGTGGACATTGGCTTGGAGTCGTGATACATCATTCCTTGTGGCTTGCGGGCTGTGTGGATCACTGATAACTTGAGTTTACAGGAACCGGAGGCATTGGTGGTAAAGAGGACGGTGATGCGCTCCTTCTGCAACTTCCGGCCCCGACACTTGCTGGCAGACTTGACAACGAAGGTCTTGGAAGGGAGCTTTTTCCAAAAGAGACCGGATTCGTCCATGTTGAACACCTGGTCGTCGATGTACTGTCCTTCCTCCATGATCTCACGTAAAAACGGAGGAAAATCCCTAGCCGCAACACGGTCAGCACTCGCTCCTTCACCACCAATGTTAATGTTGGTGATCTTGTTCCTCTTCTTAAACCTCTGCAACCACCCAGAGGAAGCATTGAAGGGTTTGGGCTCTGCAATTCCCATCTTACGTGACACTGCTGCGTACAGTTCACGTGCGTACTCCTGAACTGACCGCGTGTCGACCGCCATGTTCCGTCTTGCCTGACGAATCAAGTAGCTCACAAGTAACTTCTCCGTCTTGAGAAGCACCTTGTTGTGGCAATACTTGGTCATAGAAGCACTTGTAGACTTTGTGATGTTCATGTGTTCTTTTATCTTGGCTGCATCCTTCTTGATTGTCCGGATCGTAGATTCGTTCACACCATGCTGGTGCGCCAAATCAACCTGTCTTGTTCCTTTCTCTAACTCTTGGATGATCTTGTACTTCACCTTGTAGCTTAGGGCACGTCGTATCTTCTTTGGCTAAGGGCGGCTGGGTCCAGGTAATGCAAGGTTTCTTTGTGGTGGTGGTGGTCCGGTGGCAGTCATTCTTATGGAACAATGGATATCGATATACACAGTGTAGCCGGGAGCGGTGTAACTGATGTGGGTAGGTCAACGGGCTTCATCGCTCCCGCGGCAGGGCATGTCATATTACATTAAACCAATCACAGCTAGCGGGGAGGGAGGTAAGGATGCTTGTCCCAATCACAGTTTGATATGTCATATGACGTCACCGATAACGCAACAAAGACATACACTGCGCAACCTACTCGCGCCGCTTACCCAACATGGCGGGATGGCGGGAGGTTTGAATCCAAAAATGGCGTGGCGCGAGATGACTGCCAGCCGCTCTCTGTGTAAAAGAGTAGATGCACCGTGGGGTACCGCGTAAACGTAAAAACGCATAAAAGAAAACGCGTAAAGCTGGGTAATACTGTAATAATAATAATAATAATAATAATAATAATAATAATAATAATAAAGAACCATTAAGAAATAAAAAAGAAAAAAAGATCAAGAGTGAGAAACAATATACCGTACAGTACAGTGATCCCTCGGTTAACGAGCGCCTCTGTTTACGAGATTTCGGTTAACGAGTTACCTTCCATAAGATTCTTAACTTCAGTTAACGAGCCATCCCTCGATTAACAATTTTTTTACGAGCCGACCTCAACATGTTTTCGCTTGCACTTGGCGGTCCACCAGCTGTAGTATTAGTCCGCCAATACAGTAATCGGTTCTAGTGCTTAAATTTCTTACTATTTAAGTATATATCAAGAAGTTTATACTATTCAATAATTTTAAAAGTTTTATATTAAATTTTTTAGTCATTTTAACAATTATTGAACATAATTGAAGTATTAGGAAGCTAGTTTTTTGCGTGCCATACAGCCTGTCAACACACCATACAGGCGTCAGTCTCTGTGTCTTTTCAGTGGTGGTAACATCTTGCTTCAGACTCTCTTCAACTAAATGCTTTTTTCTGTGTTTGCAAGCAAATTATTGGTCAATTTGAAATTTATTTTACATATTGACAATATATAATGCAGTGCAGTGTTGAGTTACAGAAAATAATCTTGAATTACACCAAGAGAACTAAAATTTTATGGGTGAAATGGCGGCATGGGGTGACTTCTCTTCCACCCCAATGCCTTCTCTTCTCCCTTCTCCACCCCATTCTAGTTCCCATCATCATCATCATCATCATCATCATCATCATCATCATCATCATCATCATCATCATCCAGGAGCCTTCTACATACACACCTCAAAGTAAGTGCACTTTACTACCTTTTTTGTTGAGTTTAGGCAATTTTCGGTGAGCTGGAACCAATTACCCAAAAACCCATTGAAACAATGGTGTCGGTTAACGAGCAACCTTCTAGAACAAATTGTGCTCGTTAACCGAGGGACCACTGTATGTATGTTGTGTTGTCAATGGTAAGAGAAACAATTGAGACCCTGCAATTACAATTACAGGGAAAGTTGTGTTTATCTGAGTTTTTAACTGTTTATATATGTTTTCGGGTATGCTGATTCCAAAAATGACTTTAGTTTTTTTACAGCATCAATAGTTTTATCAGAAATTTAACCAGAAATCAGAAGGTGAAATGTTGATATACATCACATTTGCTAATGAAATAAATGAAACGAGAACATAATTTTATGTTACGGTATAGTCTGGATTTACGCGGCTTTTGTTTACTTGTTTGGTCATTTACGCGGTGCCTTGCCAGAATGAAATGTTTTAATTACGCTGTAAATTTCATCATTTACGCGGGAAGCTGCGTGGGCAGGGTGCGCACAAGGTCGCCCAGTCATCAAAACATTGCCGAGTTCTTCACCCGCCACCCACCACAGCCGGCCCAAGTCAGTGATAGTGATAGTGAGGATATGGACTTTGAGGGGTTTGACAAAGAGGCCCTGCAAGCCTCTGTGGTGGATAGTGATACAAGTGATACAGGTGAGGGCCAATAATCTGCCCTCTGCCTCAGAACCAATCCCCCATCCCCGTGTGCCCAGCCATCTTTTCTACTAACGTAAGTGTTAAAATACCTTATATTATTGATATTTCTCTTATATTAATTGTGTGTGCATACCATCATAAAATTAAGATGTTATTTTTACTACAACGTACGTATTGTGTCGGAAAAAATGTAGTTTGGGGGTCGGCCCAGTCTCTATTTCAATTAATCCCATATGTTCTGTTATTACGTTTACGCGTTTCTCATTTTATGCGGACCTCCATGGGTTCAATTGACTGCGTAAATGCAGACTATACTGTATATTGAAAGCATAAAACATGACCAAACAACACATTCCTTTTCTACACTTGTTAATAATGAAATTGAGCAATAAACTATGCTAAAAATGAACATAGGGTCATCTCGAATCAAACTCCACATGTAGTCACCCATAATAGCTTCATCCCATCTCCCCTGATATCTCTGCTCCATAGTTTGTATGTCCTGATGAAACCGTTCACCATGCTCTTCACTCACGTGCCCCAAGTTTGGTCTGAAGAAATCCAAGTGTGAATGCAAGTAGTGTAACTTCAGTGACATTCTGCAGCCAAGTTCTTTATAACATACAATTAAATTTTCCACCAGCTCTTTGTAGTTCTCAGACTTGTGGTTGCCAGAAACCCATGTACTATAAGCCAAAATGATTGCCAGGCATTTTTTTCAATAGTTGACATTTGTCTTCCAAATCTTTAGATGTCAACATCTGCCTAATTTGTGGTCCAATGAAGATGCCGCCTTTGATTTAGGCCTCAGACAATTTTCGGGACATTAAGCAGACATGTTTAAAGGCGTTACTTTCTGGGCTTGATGCTTTGATAAACTGCTTCACAAGCCCTAGCTTTATGTGAAGTGATGGCAGCAATATCTTCTCTCTTTGAATAAGACCATTGTTACATACATTGTGTGCACCAGGAGTTAATTTGCTTCTGACATGCCAATCTCTTCTGTCATAGTGTTTGTCATCTGGTCTACTATCCTGTAGACAGAGAAAACAAGAATATTTGGTATAGCCACCTTGTAGTCCAAGCAGGAAACCTATCATCTTGAAGTCTCTACATACATCCCAATTGTTTCTTATATAGTTGAGCATATCCAACAAAATCTTTACATTTTCAGTCTTCCTTCATGTTAACTGAATGACCTACCGGAATTGATGGAAGTGTATTCCCATTGTGAAGCAACACAGCCTTAAGACTTTTTGTTGAGCTGTCAATAAACAAACGCCAATCAGAAGGGTTGTACTCGATGCCTATTTGGCCAAAAAGGCCATTGACATCAGAGCAGTAACACAGCAAATTGAGGTCCAAAACTTTGAAGAAAGGTGTAAAAGTTAGATGCCTTTTCTTGTATGTACTAATCTTGCAACTAAGATCTAGTAAATTCCACTCCTTGAGACGAGATGTGAAAACCTCAGCATTTTTATTGATTGGTGTTTGTTTTAATAAACTTTTATATGTATTAAATATGCACAGTTATTTTGTTTGATATATACATACATACATACACACACACACACACATATATATATATATATATATATATATATATATATATATATATATATATATATATATATATATATATATATATATATATATATATATATATATATATATATATATATATATATATATATATATATATATATATATATATATATATATATATATATATATATATATATATATATACAGTTGTACCCCACTTAACGCGGTCAATAGAACCCAGAGGGTCCCGTGTTAAGTGAAATCCGCGTTAAGTGAACAACAGAATAGAAACCGGCCCGACCCCCAAACTCCACTTTTTGAAGACACATAACTATGTTTTAGTAAAAATAACATCTTAATTTTATGATGGTACATGCACACAATTAATACTTAAGAGAAATAGAGAAATACAGTCGCCAAGTTAATGTCCATTCAAATAATGGACTCAACTCCCTCCCCCTCTCACACTACACTGCCGGCTCTTCCCTCTCTGAGAAATTTTTTGGGGAAAACCACTAAATTTTAATAAATAATACCTCAAACTAAAGTTAGGATAATACAATTGACATTGCTGGATTCCTTGTAAGACCAGGAATATTTTGAATATAAATGTCATATATTTTGCACAAAAGATAACATAGTTACTCAGAAAATTTTTTTATCTAAAATTTGTATGTCTAATGCAAAATATATGATGTTTATATTCAAAATGATCACCAAATTATAAGAATTCCAGCAATGTAAATTATATTCTGGCCGGGTAATTTGTATGAATTTTATGAGCTAAAACAAATATCTTCAGTTAATAAAAAAAGAAATAATCTTCAGGACACTATCTGTCAATCAAAGTACCCCACCTTGCCTCCCCCCTCTTCCAACCCCGCGGTCAGTCCCAACCCTCCCCCGCACCCCCCACCAATCATCCCTTCAAGAGAAGAGTGGGTGAAAAATTTAGGTTTTAACATTTTGTATTAAATAATACCTCAGATTAAAGTTAGGATAATATAATTGACATTGCTGGATTCCTTGTAAGACCAGGAATATTTTGAATATAAACGTCATATATTTTGCACAAAAGATAACATTCTTACTCAGATTAAACATTTTATCTAAAAATTTTATGTCTAATGCAAAATATATGATGTTTATATTCAAAATGATCATCAAATTATAAGAATTCCAGCAATGTAAATTATATTCTGACCGGGTAATTTGTATGAATTTTATGAGCTAAAACAAATATCTTCAGTTAATAAAAAAAAAAAAATATTCTTCACGGGGTAACAGATGGTCGGTCGGTCCCTCCCTCCCCCCCACCCCCCACCAACCGTCCCAAGGAGATGTGTGGGAAAACCAGAATACTTAACTTTTTTGTAATAAATAATACCTCAAACTAAAGTTAGGATAATATAATTGACATTGCTGGATTCCTTGTAAGACCAGGAATATTTTGAATATAAATGTCATATATTTTGCACAAAAGATAACATAGTTACCCAGAGAAAAAATTTTATCTAAAATTTGTATGTCTAATGCAAAATATATGATGTTTATATTCAAAATGATCACCAAATTATAAGAATTCCAGCAATGTAAATTATATTCTGGCCGGGTAATTTGTATGAATTTTATGAGCTAAAAGAGGCAGTCAGGCAGGGTGGCGGGTGGGTGGGGCAAATCTAAAAATAGCGTCTCGAGCCGGACACTCACCGCGTATATGTGGAAAAAATCCGTGTTAAGTGAAAGTTCAGCTCTGGCGAGGCACCGCGTATATGATAAACGTTGCTGGTGAAACCGTTAGCGGAGTCCCGCGGTTCGGCCCCTCAAGCTTCTAAATATTAATGTTGTTTTCAAGTATGATCAATCCATTACCAATATGTTAATAAGAATAGCCCAAGTTTGAATGTAAAATGGAAGTGTTTATTGTATTCCATGTAGCAAATGTAATTGTACTATGTAGGTCAGACAGGAAAAACACTGCAGCTCAGAATCAAACAACATATATAATTATCAGAACTGCATCTGAAAGCAGTGCCTTGTTCGCTCATGTTAGGAATAATAATCACCCCATTAAGCCGGGAAAAAAGCTTAGAAGTATTCAAATCATCTTGTGTCACAGAAAGACTTCTGGTTGAAGCTAGTTTGATTAAGGAATTAAAAACAATAAACCTTAGTGATGGTCAGTTCAAAACTGATAATATGTTACATAAATTTATTTGTCAGTGGCCCAAGGTTAAAAATGCTTTGAAAACCTTTGATCTAGATGTATAATAGTTATTTTGTGGGTCCCTTATTTTTGACCTGACCTGACTAGTCACGTCACCACCCTTCTCTTAAGCTCCTCTACGTGTGTGTTGGTGTGGGGATTAGTGGATGTCATCATTATGACCTGACCTCATGTTTTTAGGTCACCCTGTATATTTAAGCCTCTCTCTGTCCATGTAATCCAGTTGCCTCTGAAGATGTCTTGAATAAAGACGAAAGCTAAGGTACTCCGTTGTTTTCCCGTGTGATTTTATCAAGATTTATCTTATCCACGTTTTCATTGTGGATTTACATGAAATATATATATATATATATATATATATATATATATATATATATATATATATATATATATATATATATATATATATATATATATATATATATATATATATATATATACAGTATATATATATATATATATATATATATATATATATATATATATATATATATATACAGGGGTATGCTATAACGAATCTAATTGGTTCTAGAACCTTGTTCATTATAGCATTCGCTCGTTATAGGATAATCCGCTCCAGGCCCCCAAATACAACCACTTAACACTGAAAATATAATATAAAATTGTAAAATTGTAAAAGTGCATAAATATGCATCTAAAACCTTGAAATAAAGAATATCATTAATATTTGTAATAATAAACAAAATTAGTAAAAAAAAAAAATTTTTTAAATAATGTTCATTGTAGGAGTTTCTGTTCGTTATAGCATTCTCAATTTTATAGGTAAAACCTTTCGTTATAGGAATATTCGTAGTAGGATCCGCTCATTATAGCATACTCACTATATATATATATATATATATATATATATATATATATATATATATATATATATATATATATATATATATATATATATATATATATATATATATATATATATATTATAGTATGTATGTATGTATATATATATATATATATATATATATATATATATATATATATATATATATATATATATATATATATATATATATATATATATATATATATATATATATATATATATATATATATATATATATATATATATATATATATATATATATATATATATATATATATATATACATACAGTCGGCCCTTAACATAATGCCAAGCTAGGTAACAGATACTTGTGAATGTTAAAAATCCGTACTATTGCTGCCCCCCTAAAAATCCCTGGCCCCCTATGCTGTCCTTATTTCATCGAATATACCTGTGTGTAGTTCGAGTTTTTAAGACCAAATTATTTGGCAAAAATTGGGGGTCGACCTCTAAACGGGTAATAGTTTCGTTAGGTTGAAAAATATTTACCAGTAACTACCAGTAAACAATGGAAATGACGCACCAACGCACCATCAGCTGTGAGTGTCGGTACAGTCGCCAGGGCAGATCTCTTGCGTCATCATAGCAAGCCCAAAGTAGCCAAATGCATGGTATGGTATGCACAGGACGATGTAAAACATAAAGTATTCATTTTTTAAAGTTTATTTATAGAGACTGTACATAAATTTTTGTTCATTACATTTGAAACATCAATCTTTGTTAATTAAATTTGATACAAAAAAAAACTACGATACCGTATTTTCATTAAAATATTACATCACAAGTATATTTTACCTTAACTGTGACTGAATGAATATATTCTCAGAAATAAATATGAAAATGTAATATTTTGGCTGAAATGGCGTACATATTACTGTACAGTGGAAAGTGGGATAAAATTATGAAAACAATGACTTTCGCTTTCTTTCGTTGTTCAAAAGATTTTACCGTAATCGCTTTTCGAATGGTTTTCAGTTAAAAAACTGTTGTACTGTACTCGTACTGTATTACAATAATATTCTATCCTATCATTAGCCTTATAATCCCACAACTGAAAACCATTCGAAAAGCGATTACTGCAACATCTTTTGAACGAAAGAAAGAGAGAGAGTCATTGCTTGCGTCACAATTTTATCCCACTTTCCACTGTAATACGTACATCATTTCAGCAAAAATATTACATTTCTATGTTCTCAGAAATAATTGGTAGTTTTGTTGAAACGTAATGTACAGTATTTAATATTAAAATGCAAAAATAGCTATAAAAACAATTAATACACCCGTAATGTACTGGCTGGCATCTCCACACGTCCCTGCTCCTGCGTCCAAGGTCACCTCCCCACTCCTCCCAACTCGCTCCCTCCGCTCTCTCCTCACCCTCTGCTCCGTCACTACTGCCGACAACAAACACAAATGTTTTGTGAATAACTGCACCTCCACTTCCTATGTACAGTACTTGTACTGAACTGTACTGTGCTGTGCATTTTTACAAACAATAAACATGGCAAGAAAAGCTATTAAAAAAAAAGAGATAAGAATTTCACTTTACTGTACCGTACCTCTCCTCGGCGACAGGGCGGGGCTCATTGGGCTCATCGTCACTCAGTTCCATAACAGGTGGTGAAGTGGGGGCGACTGTGGATTCAGCTGCTTCCTCACTGCCGCCAGCGATTGATGGTGTTGAATCTCTCCTTCGGTAACCAAAGAACATGGTGATGGGGAGTTGTCGTCTCTTTCTTTTCATTTCTTCCATGATGTTTTTGTATGGAACAAAAGCATCATCCATCCCTCGCATGAATTTCAGGGCACGCACCATGGAGGGGTCCATACTATAGGCCAGGTTTTTCAGTGCCTCAATCATCCTGGTCATCTCCCCCAACTTCTCCAACGTTATTTCTTGGTGCTCTTCCTCATCCTCTTTCCCTTTCGCTTCCTCTTCCTTGCCTGAGTCTACTAACTCCTGTAGATCCTCCTCGGTCAGCTCAATGTCGTGATCTTCGATTAGCTCCCTAATCTCGTCCTCTGCCGTGTCCTGGAAGCCTTCAACAGCCACTTTCCTCGACAGTGCCAGGGTCTTTTTCACCGCCTCTGCGATGGCTTCGTCAGGAGAAAATCCAGTGAAATCTTTCACACATTCAGGCCACAGTGATTTCCAGCAGGCATTCACTGTCTCAGGCTTCACATCCTTGAAAAATTCAGCCACCAAAGATAAGCAGTCGGCAATGTTGAAGTTCTTCCAGTACTGAAGCACATCTAGGTTTTGATCATGGTCTAAGGCTGAGTGCAGTCTGGCCATCACAAGTTTACTGTAGTTAGCCTTGAATGTCTTGATAACTCCCTGGTCCATTGGCTGGATAAGTGCAGTGGTGTTGGGTGGAAGGAACAACACCTGTACCTTTTCATGCGGCACCTCCACTGACTGTGGATGACCAGGAGCATTGTCGAGGATTAGCAGGATCTTGAACTCCAATCCTTTCTGGTGCAGGTAGCGTTTGACCTCTGGCAGGAAACAATGGTGGAACCAGTTGAGAAACAGGTCACTCGTTGTCCAGGCCTTCTTATTGTACATCCAGAAAACAGGCAGCAAGCTCATGTCGCGGTGTTTGAATGCACGCGGTTTCTTAGACTTGTATATGAAGCCTGGGCGAATGAGGTGACCCGCAGCATTGCCACAAAATAGCACTGTGCACCTGTCCTTGGCTGCCTTGAATCCTGGTGCACGGCGTTCTTCTTGGGCGATGAAAGTGCGCTGTGGCGTCTTTTTCCAGAACAAACCTGTTGGAAAAGAAAATACTCGTAGTACACCCTGTACTATTATACATACATTATACGGTATCAAAATTGGTATAAAAATATTACACCACACTGTATGGTAAATCACTACGGAATAAAAATATAAAAGCTACTGTATAAAACTCAGACGCATTTATCCCGTTTTCTCTTACAACACAATACAGTACGTACAGTACAACAGGTATTTGACCATTTTTAAGGTTAAATGTACAGTAGTAATTTATTGTCTTACCTGTTTCGTCCATATTCCAAACTTGTTCTGGCTTGTAACCCTGCTCCTCGAGTATTGCTTTCAACTCTGCTGGGAAAGTTTTTGCAGCCATGGTGTCTGCTGACGCAGCCTCCCCAGTCATCTTCACATTCTTCCGGCCAAATTGACGCTTGAAATTGTCAAACCACCCCTTGCTGGCTTGGAAAGGTGTCGGAGGTGTCTCGGGTGTGGGGGGTAGCAGCACTGGTACTGGGTACGGGTTCCTAAGCTGCAGGCGTGAAGCGTGTGTGTAGAGGCTTAGCTTTCTCCCGGATAAGGATTGAGTCCACTACTACACCTTTCCGATGCTGGTCCTCTATCCACAAAAACAAGGCATTCTCCATCTTCACCATTGCCTTCTCCCTCACTTGGCTGACATGCTTAGCACTGCGTGGAGCACTGGCACTTACAGCATCATAGATATCTTTTTCCTTTTTCTTGATGGTACGTACGGTGCTTTCGTTCACGTTGTACAGTCGCCCCACAGCAGCGAACGACATTCCCTCCCTTAACTTATTCAACAACTCCACCTTCTCCTGCAGAGTCATCACTTTCTTCTGGCGCTTAGGGATGGCCATGGTAAATGTGGGTAGCAAGCGTAGCAACTACAATTCTGATGTCAACACAAGCATGGTTACAGCGAGACTGAGTGAGAGAGCGGGGTGGTGTGACGTGCTATGCATGTGTGAGAGGTTGCGGGAGTAGGCGGTGTCCCGTGTTCGGTGCCGCGCGCGAGTTGAATGTACTTCAATTAACAGATATTCCTTATATATATATATATATATATATATATATATATATATATATATATATATATATATATATATATATATATATATATATATATATATATATATATATATATATATATATATATATATATATATATATATATATATATATATATATATATATATATATATATATATATATATATATATATATATATATATATATATATATATATATATATATATATATATATAATATTAAAAGAATTTCACTTAACGTCAATAGAACCCAGAGGGTCCCGCGTTAATGAATAACAGAACATATGGGATTAATTCCAATAGAAACCAGGCCGACCCCCAAACTCCACTTTTTGAAGACACATAACTATGTTGTAGTAAAAATAACATCTTAATTTTATGATGGTACATGCACACAATTAATACTTAAGAGAAATAGAGAAATACAGTCGCCAAGTTAATGTCCATTCAAATAATGGACTCAACTCCCTCCCCCTCTTCTCACACTACACTGCTGGCTCTTCCCTCTCTGAGAAATTTTTGGGGGGAAAACCACTAAATTTTAATAAATAATACCTCAAACTAAAGTTAGGATAATACAATTGACATTGCTGGATTCCTTGTAAGACCAGGAATATTTTGAATATAAATGTCATATATTTTTCACAAAAGATAACATATTTACTCAGAGAAAACATTTTATCTAAAATTTGTATGTCTAATGCAAAATATATGATGTTTATATTCAAAATGATCATCAAATTATAAGAATTCCAGCAATGTAAATTATATTCTGGCCGGGTAATTTGTATGAATTTTATGAGCTAAAACAAATATCTTCAGTTAATAAAAAAAAAATATTCTTCACGACACTATCTGTCAATCAAAGTACCCCACCTTGCCTCCCCCCCTCTTCCAACCGCGCGGTCAGTCCCAACCCTCCCCCCCACCCCCCACCAATCCTCCCTTCAAGAGAAAGAGTGGGTGAAAAAAATAAATTTTAACATTTTGTATTAAATAATACCTCAGATTAAAGTTAGGATAATATAGTTGACATTGCTGGATTCCTTGTAAGACCAGGAATATTTTGAATATAAATGTCATATATTTTGCACAAAAGATAACATATTTACTCAGAGAAAACATTTTATCTAAAATTTGTATGTCTAATGCATATATGATGTTTATATTCAAAATGATCATCAAATTATAAGAATTCCAGCAATGTAAATTATATTCTGACCGGGTAATTTGTATGAATTTTATGAGCTAAAACAAATATCTTCAGTTAATAAAAAAAAAATATTCTTCACAGGGTAACAGATGGTCGGTCGGTCCCTCCCTCCCCCCCACCCCCCACCAACCGTCCCAAGGAGATGTGTGGGAAAACCAGAATATTTAACATTTTGTATTAAATAATACCTCAAACTAAAGTTAGGATAATATAATTGACATTGCTGGATTCCTTGTAAGACCAGGAATATTTTGAATATAAATGTCATATATTTTGCACAAAAGATAACATATTTACTCAGAGAAAACATTTTATCTAAAATTTGTATGTCTAATGCAAAATATATGATGTTTATATTCAAAATGATCAGCAAATTATAAGAATTCCAGCAATGTAAATTATATACTGTACAGTGGGGTATGCTATAACGAACGGATCCTATTACGAATATTCCTATAACGAACGGTTTTACCTAAAAAATTCGAGAATGCTATAACGAACGAAACTCCTACAACGAACATAATTTAATTTTTTTTTTCTAATTTATTGTTTTATTATTATAAATATTAATGATATTCTTTATTTCAGCGGTTTAGATGCATATTTATGCACTTTTTTACAATTTTTACAATTTTATATTATATTTTTCAGTGTTAAGTGGTTGTATTTGGGGGCCTGGAACGGATTAATCTTATAACAAACGATTGCTATAACGAACAAGGTTCTAGAACCAATTAGATTCGTTATAGCATACCCCACTGTATATATATATATATATATATACTGTATATATATATATATATATATATATATATATATATATATATATATATATATATATATATATATATATATATATATATATATATATATATATATATATATATATATGTATGTATGTATATATATATGTGTATACATACATACATACATACATACATACATACATACACACACAGTGAACCCTCACTTTACGCGGTTAATTCAACCCACGGCGGCCCGCGTAAAGTGAACAACATAACATATGGGATTAATTGAAATAGAGACCGGGCTGACCCCCAAACTCCACTTTTTCCCGACACAATACGTACGTTTTACTAAAAATAACCTCTAACTTTATGATGGTATTCACCCACACATAATATAGAAGGGTACAATCAATAAGAGAAGAATAAACTGAAGGTTAGGTTAGAAAAAAACAAGGCTGGGTTAACACTTACGTTAGTAGAAGAGATGGGTCGGCGTACGGGAATGGAGGCTGGTTGCGAGGCAGAGGGCAGGCTACTGGCCCTCAGGTGAGTCTTCATCACTGTCATCCACACTTACTAGTGCCTCCCTGACAAATCCCTCAAAGTCATCATCACTGTCTCTGTCTCTATCACTGACTTGGGCTGGCTGTGGTGGGTTGCGGGCGAAGAACTCGGTTATGCTTTGCTGACGGCTGGTGTTTATGTTGTCGTGATACACCTTGATGTAGGGCTCCATAGTCTGCAACAGCTGGGTAGTGAAGATTTCATACCGGTTAGCGTCAGGGTCGTCGGAAAGGAGGAGCTTGACTTTCTCAATACACTCGATGGCACCCCTTACATTACTATGGGATAACTTGTGTTCTTCTTGGGTTGACGCACCACCTGCCTCTTCACTGACGTCATCATCATCTACCATCTTGTCGGTAGTCACATCAGGATCCCTTATCACCTCCAGGATGTCGTCGTTGGTGGTCTCGGAGAAGCCTGCAGCTGTAACACTCTGCGCAGCTTCTCTGGCAAGGTCCACTGCTACTGCAACAGTCTGAACCTCACCAGTCACAGATTTACTCTGCCTCCCACCCGGAATACCTTGCAACACATGTCTCCATGCGTGACGAACAGTTGCTACAGACAGCTGATCCCATGCCTCCACCAAGAAGTCCACAGCTTTCTTGACATTAAATGTTCTCCAAAATTGTCTCACAAGTACTTCTTGCTCTGCCAACTGTTGTTCCTCGTCGTCTTCGCTCTTGCTATCGGTGTCGGTGTCACTCAGGTTACGCAACTCTTCCTTGGTGTTGGTGTAGTCGTTCAGGAGCTTAAATTTCTTGGCAGAGAATGCAGCTTTCACATTACAGATCAATTCTTGGTCCATGGGCTGTATTATAAACGTAGTGTTGGGAGGAAGGAAGACCACTTTTACGTTGGGGTGACGATCTAATAGTAGGGGTGAGTGTCCTGGTGCGTTGTCAAGCAGCAACAAAATCTTGAATGGAACATTGTGTTGCTCACAGAATTTCTTAACGTCAGGAACGAAACAGTCATCAAACCAGGAGAGGGACAGAGTAGAGAACATCCACGCCTTACGTGCGGTCAGCCAGTGGACATTTAGCTTGGTCATGTCCATGCTCTTGTAGGCGTGCGGCTTGCGTTCTGTGTGCATCACCGATAACTTTAGCTTACAGGTACTGGAGGCTGTGTGGATCACTGATAACTTGAGTTTACTGGAACCGGAGGCATTGGTGGTAAACAGGACGGTGATGCGCTCCTTCTGCAATTTCCGGCCCCGACACTTGCTGGCATTCTTCACAATGAAGGTCTTGGAAGGTAGCTTTTTCCAAAAAAGACCAGATTCGTCCATGTTAAATACCTGGTCGTCGGTGTACTGTCCTTCCTCCATAATCTCACTTAAAAACGGAGTAAATTCCCTAGCCGCAACACGGTCAGCACTAGCTTCTTCACCACCAATGTTAATATTGGTGATCTTTTTCCTCTTCTTAAACCTCTGTAACCACCCAGAGTCAAGCATCAAAGGGTTTGGGCTCTGCAATTCCCATCTTTCGTGGCACTGCAGCATACGGTTCACGTGCGTACTCCTTAACTGAGCGCGTGTCCACCACCATGTTCCGTCGCGTCTGACGAACCAAGTAGCTCACAAATAATTTCTCCGTCTTGAGAAGCACCTTGTTGTGGCAATACTTAATCATAGAAGCACCTGTAGACTTTGTGATGTTCATGTGCTCCTTTATCTTGGCTGCATCCTTCTTAATTGTCCTGATCATAAACTCATTAACACCATGCTGGCGCGCGAGATCAACCTGTCTTGTTCCTTTCTCCAACTCTTGTATGATCTTATATTTAATTTCGTACCTTAAGGATCGTCGTGTCTTCTTTGG